TCGGGTAAGGGAACTGTTGTCCACCTCCCCAAGAATGCAAAAATCCTTGAGAAACCGGAGGACGCATCTACCAAGCCTTGGGAAGCCCTCCGTATCAGTCAAAAGGAATCGGAAAGAAGATCAAAACTGCGCATATGCTTGCATTGTCAAAAGCCTGGGCATGCTGTGCAGGACTGTTATTGACTTCAGGGAAACAGGCAAAGGGTGTAGAGGAGTCATCAACACTCCCTACAACAAGGGAAGTTGGAACATCAGTTGCAGGCCCCTCTGATGAGCCTGAATCTGATCAACAACCTACTCTTGAAGCCCGGAACGACGCTGAATCCAAGGCTGCTGCAGTCCATGTGTAATACACTGAGCCTTGGGAGGAGTCTAAGGAAGTTGACTTCCACGCTTACCTGGAACATTGGCTGCAGCTCAAGCAGCAACGCCGTGTTCAAGGAAGTGTGGAGCTAACCTTCTTTAAACTGATCATTAACCGCCGGTACATTCGCGTGCTGATTGATAGTGGTTCAACCACTTACTTCTTTTCTCCTAACGGTATTCGTAAGGCGGGCATGGGAATGAAGCAAGTGGAACTGCAGAACCCTTGTCAGACCCAGGTGGGCAACCAAGAGGTTGTCACCTCCACACATGCTGTCAAAGGTGTGCGCGTCACCTTTGACAAGGACCGCACTGTCACACATGAGCTCAACTTTTATGTCATGGACAAGTGTCCGTTCGACGTGGTCATTGGCTTGGGCTGGTTAAAGGCTCATTGCCTAAGGACCACGTGGGCGGACAATCAGTTCGTGGTGCATGATGCCAAGGGGAACGAGCGTACCGTCCTATTGGATGAGACGCGTGAGTCCCCTGTGACTCTTCTAAGTGCGAACAAATTCTGCAAATCAGTGCGCAGGCGCAAGGAAGTGGAGCATGTACATGCAGCTTTTGTAAAGCCTCTCCATGTGCCTTCTACTTTTGTAAAGCCGGTACCACTCAAGTAGTGGTAGGAGTGTCGGGTACTGGAGGCCGAGCAGTAGAATACAAAAAGTTGGCATTTTTAGAGGCCCAGTAGCGGTAGGATAGCGGTAGGCCGGTACCAGTCCAAGTAGCCCGGGTCTAGGGCCTGTACGAAGGATAGCAGAGCCTGCAATGATGTTTCCCTCCGAAAGGGAGGAGCTACCGGTTGCTGGGAGGCCGCTCGGCCTAGGAAGTCACCGCCCAGGAGGCCGGTAGACCGCTATATCTCCAGGAAGAGCAAAGAGCTCTTCTTCATTTGCGGTGTGCAAGGATTGGCGACATGCTGCTGGAGCGCAGCGCTGGACTGGTGCAGTGCTGCTTGGAGGTGAAGGGCCGCTGGAGCTCAGCCTGGCTATGGCGAGCAGTCCAGCTTGAGGAGGAGGAAGAAGGGGGCATGGTAGGAGAGTGGCGGGGCACTTACCTGGCTATGGTAGACACCATCTTCATCACCTTGTTGGGCGCTGCATCTGGAAGGCCCCTGTTGGGGTAGTGCTGCACCAAGGAAGCTCGAGGCAGAGTCAGGCATGGCGGACCAGTCAGCAGCGGGCATAGCTGCTTTGGGTTGTCCTTTGGACATCAGCGCAGCACCATAGCTGCTTTGGGTTGTCCTTTGGACGTCAGGGCAAGGCCCTCATTAGTCCGCCATGGCCTATGCATGAGAGAGGAGGCTGAAGGAGGGAAGCCATAGCTATTGTGGACTGGTTGTTGTTGTTCAGTTGAGTCAGCAGGAAGAGGGAACTTCGGATATTGATTCTGGTTCATCCATTCATTGTTATTATTATTGTTGAGAGAAGAATAAGATTGGCGAAGTGAAGGAGGAGGAGGAAGGTGGAGAGAGAAGGGGGAATTGTCATTGATCTTGCTGGTGTACATCTTCTTCTTCTTCTTCTTCTTTCTCTCTCCTCTGGTCTTTATCTCTTTGCAAGTGCTTTCATTTCTTTCGCAATTGGGTGACATTGTCTTTCATTGTGAATTTGCACTTGGGAAATGTCCAGGATCGTTACAGCTAGAACATGGAACCATATGCCGCCATATGTTTTGTCTTTTGTTCAAGATGTGACGAGTGGAGCAAGGCCCTTAGGGCCACTGCTCGTAGGAAAAGGAAACAAAAGTTGGAATGAATCTTCTGCTAGAACATGGAACCATACGCCGCCATATGTTTTGTCTTTTGTGCAAGTAGTGAGGAGTGGAGCAAGGCTCAGCACGGCCCTTAGGGCCATAGGAAAAGGAAACAAAAGAAACTTTAAGAAAGAGAGGAATGAATCTTCTGCTAGAACATGGATCCATATGCCGCCATATATTTTGTCTTTTGTGCAAGTAGTGACCGGTGGAGCAAGACCCTTAGGGCCGCTGCTCGTAGGAAAACGGAACAAAAGAAAAGAGAGAGCTACGGTAGCAAGTAGTTGTAATTGTGACCCATAACTGCTGGAAAGCAGACCTGACTTCGGATCCAGAACATATATTGCTGGCTTGCTTCGCTCTCACACAAAATTTGCCGAACGTCTCTTGAGATATTGGACGCTTCCAGATGCACTGCTGGGGTCCTTCGGGAAAAAGACTATTCAATAAGGAATATGTGGGCAGAATTTTTTTTTCTGTCGTCCTCCTCTCTTTTTGTCTTCCTCCTCCTCGTCTCCTCCCCCTCCTCCTTTTTGGGTTATTTATTTTTTATTTGGTCCACTTCCCCATTAATGCGTGTCATGTTGGTGCAGGGGCCATGCTAATCTTGCCCTTGGGACATTCATTAACATTGGAAGGAGAAGATTAGCGTGGTCCCTGCACATGGGAAGGACATTCATTAACATCAGAAGTAGTTTTTTTTTTTTTTTTTTTTTTTTTTTTTTTTTTTTTTTACAATATAGGGGATCCGGACCAGGATCCGGACC